TACACATCAGCTATCTCATGACTTCATACCTCCAAATGAATTATTTCTCCTCTTTTTTTTTTTTTGTTTGTTTGTTTGTGCAGTCAGCTGAAGAATTGTTAACATCTCACTCTAAATCTCTCAGTGGAGTCTCTGTTCCCTTCTCTGATATAACAGATGGGTTACTGCTTGTTATAATTATTAACATTGTGGTGTGGGCCAGGGCTAGGGTGGGCAAGATTTATGATTTCTTTGGGCTGGGGTGGGGCCAGTCGTTAGGGTATGGAATGTTAACTCAAGTGGTGACTGACTGTTTCCGTAATACCAGGTTGTTGTGGCTGCACGCTCTAGTAATTGAGGCTGTGTACTTCACCGAGCTTGTGGTAGAGCCTAGGGCAAACCGCTGTCCCAAGAGAATGCTGGGATAGATAGAGTTAGCCAATACCAGTCTGAACGTGGTGATTTTGCTGGTTGTTTTAGCTCAGATGTTGGCATGCTTAGTTTTTAATGTGGTTAATAAGTGTGACGCCATATCCCCTCCCCACGCCTGAACCCTGTCTCTCCTCCTCCTCCTCCTCTCCTCCCCCCACCCCGTTCTTTTGAAGAAACTTAAGAAACAGTAATGAAAACCTTGGTGTTTCAAACTGCACTTTGCTCTCATGTTCTGTAAAAGTCTTCAGATTGGCTAGTAGAAGTGGAAGTTGGGAAAACCGTTTCTCATCCTAGAATCTCAGTGCACCCTGAAATCCAGAATAAAAGTAGATAATCTGAATTTTCTTTGTCTTATGTTTTGTGATCTATTTTATCAAATAACCAACTTAAGCTGTAGCAGAAATACTTTGGAATAAGAATATTACCTAAGAATATCCATGATATCCCATTTAATTTTTCTAATCTTTTGAGAGTCATTGATGAATTACCTGATTAGTTTATTAAGATAGTATGTATCCATCCTAAACATAAAAAAAATCTTGCCATCAAGTTGATTCCAACTCATAGCAACCCTATAGGACAGAGTTAAACTGCCTCATAGAGTTTCCAAGGCTGGAATCTTACGGAAGCAGACTGCCACGTCTTTCTCCCGTGGAGCAGCTGGTGAGTTCAAACCGTCCACCTTTCGGTTAGCAGCTGAGCGCTTAACCACTGTGCCACCAGGGTTCCTATTCTAAACATAGCCCTCCTTTTTAAGACCTCTCTATAGCACCATTATTATAATTAGGAGAGTAGACATGTTGAAATATTACTTCCTTTAAAAAAAAACTATAAATGTAGTTTTTCTTAATGCTTATTGTGTTCTTGAGCCTTTTGTTGTCAATAATAATCTGCATCCTTGGCCTGTTTTCTTTAACTCAGGTAACTGAAAATCTCATCAAATTCAAACTCCAAAGTCAGAGTTCAGTCAGAGAAGAAGGAAACTACTTCAGATAGATTCCCTCCATTTCCCTCTGTTTGGAAGGAAGCCCTTTTTACACAGTCTGGTCCATTTTGGATTGTTCTGGTTAGCAGTAATATTATTCCTTAAATAATGTGCTGATGGCTTCTTGCAGGCAGTGGAAAGTGAGAGGAAACAATTCTCGCTCAGTAATTGCACTCAGAACTGCTTTTTTCGAGAATCAGTGTCATACAGCTTGAAACCATGACTTGATACAATACCCAGAGAGATTGTAACCCCAGTATCTTTTCTGAGACTTGCTGAGAGTAGGGTCTGAAATCTCCCTTTGCATCAGAACTTCTGAGCCTCTGATCTCATAATGAGGATGTCTGCCTCAGTTCTGTAGCATAGAGCTCCTGTTTTTATGTGTTTATTTAGGTAATCACAAATCTGGCTTTAACTGCTTTTATTACCTTGATGTTTTCAATTTTTAAAGATTAATTTGGTGTCGGGAGCTGTACTAGAGAGACAGACCACATAATGCTGAATTATCTGTGTTCACAAAGAAGTTTTACTAAAGATAGCCCTGCTATAGGCTTCACGCTAGCACTTTCGTTCTAAACTGATTGTAGTGAACTAGTTGTAATGAAGAAATGAGCCTTCAAGTTTCATCTAAAGCTTAAAACGTCCACTGTCATGATCAGTATTTCATTCTGTTTAGCAAATGCTTTTACTGCTTCATTTCCTTCCTAGAAGTTTAAAAAAAAAGAAATAAGGTCAAGAAATACTTTAGTTAATTCTATATACTGCAGTATATTATGTTGCAGCCTGGATGTACAGCTTTGCCCATATCAGTCTGGCTTGTCAGTTCCCATAGACCTAGCTAGAATTCCAAGGATATGTGCTGATCACAGACAGCCCCTGACGTGCTTGCCATGTCCCTAAACAAAAAACCAAACTCATTGCTGTCGAGTCGATTCCAACTCCTAGCAACCCTATCAGACAGAGTAGAACTGCACCATAGGGTTTCCAAGGAGCGGCTGGTAGATTCGAACTGCCGACCTTTTGGTTAACAGCTGAGCTCTTAACCAGTACGCCACCAGGGCTCCGAAAGGGTGTCTGCCTCCCATCAGGGAATCGAACCCTGGTCCTCCCGCATGACAGGTGGGATACCCACCTCCACACTAATGAGGACAGCCCGCGTCCCTACCCATTACGATTTCATTGCCAGTGTTTATGGTAATATTAATTAGAATTTTCTTATTTGCGTGAATATATGTGGAAGAGTTTGAAATTGAGAAGGAAATGTTTAGTTTTCTAAGTCATTCACTATAAGTAACTAAGAAGGAATAATACATGACCATTGAAACCAGGGATTTTTTTAAACGTACATTCAAAGCTATTTCTGATGACTTATAACAGCATAGACCTAAAGAGCAAGAGTAAATGTGCCCTCAAAATGCGGTTTCTTCAGTGAGAAAATGCAGAAATTACATAAGAAAGAAAGCAAAAACCTTCAGAAGCCCATAAGAAGTTATAAATATTTTCAAAATAAGATTTGAATGGAAATAAAAGTGGTAGCAATCTAGAAGGTGCTCTATCAGATGACTGAAAAGAGCCAGGGTCCCATTAGAAAATACTTGTTTACAATCCTAAGAAATGATACAGAAGCAAATCTGACATTTCTTTTACAGATTTATTAAAATTGAACAATTGAAGGAATAGAAAGTAAAAAGCATGGGACAAAAAGCATCAGATGTCCATGAGGAATGAACGCGCTTAGCCAACAAATAATATGTGTGCTGATGTGCACCACAGAAATGGTGTCAAAATGACCCTGAACATAGTGATATTCAGTAGTGAAAGGGTGGTCATAAAAATCCACATCTTAATTAAGTTTAGGTAAAGTAGATGAATTCTAGAAAGATAAAGAATAAGAAGAAAAAATAGGGCTTGCCACTTTTTAGATAGCCTGTCTCATGTGGCATTTGTTGTTGTGATTGGCACCAAAATACTTCACAGAGGAGTACATTTGGTTCACCCTGGCAGAGCTAGAACCTTTTGAGAATCTGGTTCATCTAGACTGAGTTGGAATTGCAGCATGTGGCGATTTGAAACTTTTTAGGACTGAGAGGGGTGTTTGAGCCATTTGAAGAAAAGCTCCAGTGCCTGCTATGAGATTAGTATGTAAGAATCTCAGAACCTTTTAGGGAAGGAAAATAAATGGAGATAAATGTCGGGGTGAAGGCGACCCTCCTGATCTATTTGAATCTAGCCGAAGGATCCCCAGGTAGTTGTGATCTGATTTGCCTCAGTCTGAGGTGTAGATCAGGGGTTGGCAAATTTTTCTGTCAGAGACCAGGTAGTAAATATTTTTAGCATTGCGGGCCATAGGCGGTCTGTCACAACTACTTTCAAAATCAGGTGGCAGGCTCCATAGTTTGCTGACCCCTGGTCTAAATTGTTTTTTTTTTTTCTAAATGTTGCATGAATAGCTTAGCCTCTTTGCATATGGGTTAGGCCAGATGGAGCATAGATCTATATCAGAGATTTCTATTATATACTATAGTCTCTTAGTAATAAATCAATCTGAGTAGCATCCGAGTACCTAAAGTTAGCACATATAAATTTAATGTATTTTAATTCTGTAATTTACACTTCTTGTCAGTCAGATAAAGTTCTCCCAACTTTCTATAAACACTTTCCCAGTTCAGAGTTCCAACAGAGACTGCATTAAGACAGATCCAAAATCATATCTTCATTTCTTAAATTTGAGAACAGGTTTTGTTGTTGTTGGTGCCATCAAGTTGGTTCTGACTCATAGCGACCGTGTGCACAACAGAACAAAACACTGCCCAGTCCTGTGCCATCCTCACAATCTTTGCTATGTTTGAGCCCATTGTTGCAGCCACTGTCAGTCCATCTCATTGAAGGTCTTCCTGTTTTTCACTGACCCTCTACTTTACCAAGCATGGTGTCCTTCTCCAGGAGCTGGTCCCTCCTGATAACATGCCCAAAGTACATAAGGCAAAGTCTCGCCATCCTTGCTTCTAAGGAGCATTCTGTCTGTCCTTCTTCCAAAATAAATTTGTTCGTTCTTCTTGCAGTCCATAGTATGTTCAGTATACTTCGCCAGCACCATAATTCAAAGACATCAGTTCTTCTTCGGTCTTCCTTATTCATTGTCCAGCTTTCACATGCTTATTAGGCAATTGAAAATACCACGGCTTGGATCAGGTGCACCTTAGTCCTCAAGGTGACATCTTTGCTTTTTAATACTTTAGAGAGGTCTTTTGCAACAGATTTGCCAAATGCAATACGTCGTTTGATTTCTTGATTGCTGCTTCCATGGATGTTGATTGTGGACCCAAGTCAAATGAAACCCTTGACAACTTCAGTATTTGCTGCCAGTGTAGTTTATTTTTGGTACTGTCACAAATCAGAAAGCAAATCCCTACATTGGGTGGAACTTAATTTTCTACCAGAGGAACAACATGCAGACTGATGCAGTTTGAAACATTTTCTTCCCATGCGTGTGTCTGTCCGTGTGTCTGTGTGTGTGTGTATGTCTATGTGTTGGTGGGTGTGTGTTTTTCTGTGCATCTGGGGGGAGAGGTATCTGTAAAGTCAGTTCTCTTCTCTCCTGTAGGGTGGATATGCAGCCTACAGATATGCACAGCCTGCTACTGCAACCGCAGCCACAGCGGCTGCAGCCGCTGCAGCAGCTTACAGCGACGGGTATGTAGAAAAGGCACGAGGTGATCTCTGATGCCGTGAGCACTGTACCATCTCAAAACATCACCCCCTTTTCCTCCCTTCGCCGTTTCCAGAAAGGCACTTAGCACATCGGGCTGCCTGCAAACCTGGGCTTTCCAGACGCCTCTCCTACTGCCCTTCTCCTGCCAAAAGCCACGTGGTGCTGACTCCTTCCTTTGCTGTCACTCTCTCATTCATTAGTCTTTGGCTTTGACCCCAGTCTCCCTCTTCCTCATCTCTAGCTCCCTTCTTTTCCATTTTATAGAAGCGCTTCAGAGTTTCTCCATTTAGGAAAAGAAATAGGAATGTTTTTCCATTATGCCAGTTTCCTAATAGCTGTCCAAGACCAAGTTACTCACAAATCATCAGCACAGTAAACCCTCAATTTTTTTTTCTTTCTTTTTTTTTTTTTTTTTAAGAGCACAGTCTGGCCTATATCTCTCTGATTATATTTCTTCTTTCCAGTTATGGCAGGGTGTACACAGCAGACCCCTATCATGCCCTTGCCCCTGCCGCTAGCTATGGAGTTGGCGCTGTGGTAAGTACATCCACCTTTTTTTATTAAACCATGTTACACTTTCTGACTTTACCTACAGACTCCAAAAGATCTAGGGAGGTAATAAATTCCACCCTTCCTCCATTGCCAGAGTATTAAAGCCACATAGGACTCTTTGGAAGCTTCATATCACCCTCTTTGTGTGCGTGTTACAGTCTGAGCCACATGGCCTAGTTAAGGATGGCAGAAGGAAATGAATAGTGACAGTCTGCCCTAAGTAATGGCATCATTTGGTGGAGAAAGGAAGGATCAGGTTGACTTTTTATATTGGCTCAGATGTTGAGTATGTACCTGTGCATGGTTTTACTAAGTGGCATGATAGGTGTCGGCAAAGACTTGGGGGCTTAAGGCTCTCTAGTTTTCACAGTAACCTTTTCAGAAAACTTGATGTGTATAAGCTTCAAATGCAGGTGTCATAGGATAACTCTGCTATGCCTAAGCCTTCTGGTAGACAGTACTTGAAATAGCCAAGTGAACAATAGCTTTATTGAGGATATTTTATCACTACCATTTGTGTTATCAATACAATATGATATTTTAATGGACATATAGAAAGTTCATAGAACTCATCTAGAATAATTCCCCTACTCAAAGTCAAATTCTCACTGCAGTATTCTCGTGCTTAATCAGATGTTGGCTTGGATGCCTCCAGTTCCAGTGATGGAAACTCCCTGACTACAAAGACAGGCCAGTCCACAAAGACAGCTCTAAATGGCAGGCACCCACTCTGATCCAAAAGGCAGCTGGGCGCCTGCCTCTGAAAACGGGAGACGTTGTTTGAGAGGGAGTCAGAATGAAGTGTAACATTTAAGACTTAAAGGAACCTGAGAGAGTCTGTCATCCTTCACACTGAATTACTACTGATGAAGATTTGTGAGAGGAAGTAATTGGGTCCTGGGGAAATGTTTGTTTAGAATTGAGGTAGAGACACACAGTATAAAGACAGCAACTGAAGTTCTTAGGGTTTTAGTCAATGCCAAAATGATACAAGACCTGTCCTAAAAGAATGACCCAGGGGAAAGATATATTCCTAAAGAATTTTTAATTGAAAAAGAGATTAAACAGTCTTTAAGTAAAGATAAAGGAATAAAGCCCAGTTAAAAACCTCAACTATATATATAAACTAGAATATGTCAAAAAAAAACAACCTAGTTTGGAGTATTTTATAGATTGTAGAGGAAATAGATTTTGTTAGTTGAAAGATAGACTCAGGTTTAAATTCAGCAACATCTAGAACCTGGGATGTGGCTGCATATGGCAAGGATAGTGGTCAGAAGTAAAATGTATACCATTGATAGGGCTGTGTAAGAAGGTACGAGCTGACTGTTTGAGGTTAATATTGTAATGATGGGTTAAGGTAAAGAGAGTCGTGCTTGTAAAAATCAAGCTATTTGCATATCTAGTTTTTAAAACTGTATTAAATGTTCCTTCTGTGCTAGTTCGTAAATAACAAAATAAGCAAAATTTACATAATTCAGTAGAAGCCACCATTGTCTCTGAGAATACCAGGTCAGCAGTGAGTGTGCTGGACTCTGGACTGAACCCTGGAAAGGCTTGCCACACAAGGCACAGCTGATCCATTGCTTTGAGGCTTCAAAGAAAGCTATTTTTCCACATCACTTCTCATTTTCATTTTTGATCTTTCTCTCATCAACCTTTTAATTATTTTTTATGTCTTTAATTACTGCAGGCAAGTTTATACCGAGGTGGCTACAGCCGATTTGCCCCCTACTGAAGTGACGTGAGACCCCTGCACATGGGACAGCCCCCCAGTTCATGAGGCCTGGCTATTGCAATATTTACTAGTAGAGGAACTCTATAGCAAGATGAAGAGGAAAAACAAACAAACAAAAAAAGAAAAACCACAAAAAAAGAATACTTTTTTATACCTCACTATGTTCTTTGAATATGTATTTTTCCTTTAAATTTCTGCCTTTAATTCTTTTGTTCCAAAGATTGTGCTTTTTTTTTTTTTTTTTTTTTTTTTTTTTTAATGTGGTGAAAAAAAAAAAAAAAAAAAAAAAAAAGCATTTCCATGTCTGTATGTCCGTGCTTAGCTTATTCTATCAATCACGGAAGAGGCAGTAAATAAGGAAGGAGAGGCATTAGGGCTGATAAACACATCTGATCAGAAATCAGCAGACAGAATCACCAAAGTGTATCTGGTGCTGAATGGCTGGGGGACAAGCAGAAGTGGAAGAGATGTTCTTTTCCTTCCTTTCTGCAACAGGATATTCTTCTAGTCTTCTGAGTTTCTGGTCTTTGGCAGGTAGTTCTGATTGACTGTGCCTGGAATCCACAAGCTGATAGGTAATAGGAATCTGTGCTTGCAAAGCAGGAGAATTAAAAAGGCGCTTTCTCTTCTCTTTCTGCCTGTCTTCTCCGTTCTTTTTACAATCATCTTACATGCGCAGCCTGAGAGAGTTGGCATCGTTTTGGAGTTATAGTATTGATATTTCCAAACATGCTCTCAGACTGTGGATAGTAAGCACCTCATGAGGAAACCTATCTCAGAATGAACTCTGGAGTATGAAAAAGATGACTCTTTTCTTTCCTGTAATCCTAGCATTCCTGCTGGGCTTCTTCCCCTCTAATGGAACCACCGCTTAGCTCATCTGTCCTGTTAACACCCTGCTCCCATGTCCCCAAGATGTAGGAACTTAGGACCCAGGGATGGAAGAATAGCCAGTGCCCAGATGTTCCCCCGGTGTCTGGACACAGCTTGAGGACTAGAAGTACAAGTTGTTGAGAGCCCTTACAGAGGGTGAGGAAGAGAAAAGGGATGTTAGAAGATGTCTGGCAAGTCACTCTGATGTTCCTTATCTTTCTCTTGCATCTGTAAATTCAGTGTAAACAAAATATAATAAAGCATCTGTTGGGAAATGATAAAGCACAAAGTCCTAAGTCAGCTGTCCCTGGAAGTTTTGGTGATTAGGGCATGTGAGGGCAGGCAGAGGCACTTTGAACTAGCTCCAAAGCCATAGGAATTTTCATCTTCCAGAGCCTTTATGTGTCACCTCCATCCACAGTCTTGAGTCCTCGTGGCCATTCCACCCACTTGTCGTTATCCTCCAAAGACACCCAGCTGAGCACCCGGATCACTTGGTATACATAACACTACAGGACACAAACCACAGAGCCCCTGGGGTTGCTCCCCTCCGCACTGGAAGGAGGGCCTTGAGTGGCAAGGACCTCACCATTGGGCGGCCACAGCAGTGAGTCACTGCTGCTGCTCTTTGGTGTCAACTTTGTATCTTATCAGAGTAGGGGAGAAAGCCTTTCTCTCCTAGCTGTCAGCTCTTACTGATACAGGCAAGCGTCCTGCAGCATTTCCAGAACGAAGGCATTAGAAAATAGAAAAGCACGGTCTGTTTGGCTCCCACGTCTATTCACATTGGTACTAGGGTGACCTTTCACCCAAGGGATAGCTGCTAAAGGGAGTAATTCAGAGACATGGAGTTTTTGGTTTGTTATGGGTTTATTTTTGGTTTGTTTTTTTTACTCCTGCCTCCACACATGTTGTTGACTGGTAACTGATTCATGTCCCTGAATTAAAATGACTGGCATACGACAGCATCATGCTTTCTTTGTAAGCAGAGTGGTCCATCTGGGAGGGCACTGGCCTGTCATGCATAATACGTCTTCTCCCCCTTAGAATACTCACTCTCCCCATAGCTGCAAGGGAGGCCATGCCTGACACGAGGGGCAATGTCAAAGGAGCTAGAGGCCTCGATGCAATCACTAGTGATTCCCGGGAGGATACGTAGAACAAGGGGACACCAAACTGCCCGGCTTGTTGGACTTTTTTTAAGGGTCCTCTCCCTCTACCCCCAAGCCAAAGTCTGGTTTGTTGCTGTTAAAGACAATTTTTGTTGTATGTATATAAATATTTTAGTTAGAGGAAAGGGATGGGCTGTGGGGCTTTCACAGTTCTAGGGGGTGGGGGCAGGGAGGATTTTTATTCTATTCCTTTTGTTTTTCTTTTAAGAGTGCTTTTACTGACAAAAGAAAATGAGAGAAAATTTGTGTCATGTTCAGATAGAGGACATTCTCACAAACTAGCAAGCCACTTCCTCAAGAGGAGACTAGGCCAAATTCTAAATGGTTGTATCCGTAGCAGTGGGGGCGAATAGGGAGATGAGTATAAGAATTGTTCTCTTCTTTTTCCTAGAAAGAGATAAAGATGCTGGGCAGGTAGAGAAGGCAGCTCCCACGGCCCTTTTAAAAGAGGCAGAAGCTTGAGCGTGAGGTAACTTTTGTGCGTTTCAGTTCAGCTGGTTCTGGCTGAGGACTCCGTTGGCAAGCTGTGTATCTCCAGTGGGTTTCTGCTCCTCTTCCAGGGAGGATATGTATTACCACCTCCTCCAGCTCCCTTTTCTAAGAAAGACTAAGCAGAGTTCTGCTTTTTAGTAAAGAGCTTTTGGTTCTTGGTGTCACTGCTGAGAACTGGGGCTCTTGTAAGCACCCAGGTCTCACAGAATCTACCTGCCCATCAGCCTTCCAACATTGAGACTCCCATACAGTCCACAGCATCAGAGGCAGGTTCCTCACAGCCTCGATGCTGAGAGTCTGACTCTGGTTCTCCTTGGATGAGAAAGTGAGTCCAGAGAGAGTTTGGCATCTTGTGAGTTTGTTAGAGGATGCTGGTTGTTAATTCCAAAAAGCTTACTGATGCTGAATCTCAGTACACAAGGTATTTGACAGCTTTACTGCAGTTCACCACCTGGACTTTTATACTAAGCATCTTACTCTTAGAAGTTGGGCTCCTTTAAGGAGGCCTCTTGTGAAAAATCTTTATCCTGACGTCCCTCTTTCAGTCCGGAGAGCTGCCCTTAGGTCTTTCCCAGAGTTCCTTGTGGTACCTAGTTCAACTCCCATCAACCCAGATTAAACATTTGTGGTTCATCATTCTTCGGGCTCTCAGGTTTTACAAAACCTCCTACCACCATCATCCTCTAACAGCTACGGTCTGAATTGAGCCAACTTTTTTTTTTTCTGCTTGACAAGAAGCAGGCTGAGGCTCAGCTCTTAGTTTAAGGGGAGCTAGTGGAGATCTATTGAATAGAAATCAATACTAGCAGCTTTTCCTCCTCCTCAGGGGCTGAACTACTCTTAGTTTAGGTTGGAGTCTCTAGAGAAGTAGCAGATAAGTCAGTTAATCACCACCATCCTGTAACTAGTCTTGTAGCTTCCAGATATGACGGAGGTGTAAAATAGGGTGGATATGCAAGAAGTGTCTGATAAATCCCCCTTCCCTCTGGCCGGAGAGAAAGGCCAACCGAGGAACCATCTGGGAAGCACTTAGACATTGAAGGGAGGGGAAAGGGGAAATGTCTGATGAACTGTCCCCTTCTGCCAAGCCCAGTTGGTGCTTCTGCTTGCAGCCCTCTAGCACAGTAACATTTGCAGAATTGCAGACCCCACCCCCCATACTAGGAGGAAAGGGACTTTGGGGTTAGGGAAGGGGTAGTGGTGTTTTAAAAGCATAAGTTAACTGTTTGCACTGTTTTAAGGTAGGAAAACAAAAACAGTGGGCAAGCTGAACATCAGACGTAAATCTGTGTGTTTTTATTTTGTCATGCTCTTGAAATTGACCATTTGTAGTATACACCAGTGAAACTTGATTCTTTGTCGCAGAAAACACTATATTTTTTGGAAATGTTACTGTCCAAAAGCCTCTTCCCTCCCTTTTTCCTGTGTAGTTCCTTCGTACTTGCTTTACTGATCAACAAGGCAATAGCCATCCAAGAGCTAGCACATGAAGCAGGGCCCTTTCCAAGTAGGCTCTGGGTGTCCTATGCCAGCATGTGCCCTCTGGGTTAGTGAGTGCAGTAGAAAACAAAGCGTGCAGACCAGACGACAGCAAGTTATCAAATTCCGCAATCAGACGCACTAGGAATGAGGAGCCGACGGAGGGAGGGGATTCCTGAAGTATTGCAGTTGGCTGTAGTAGCCGAGTTCTTACCCATGTTACCGAAACTGTAGCCAGTTACAGTTTACTCAGGAAAACGGTAGATCAATTCAGCCATGGTAGTGCTGGTTGGCAGGGATCGGTAACTGAGAGAACCGTTCATCAGCCACAACAGAGACCGCCAGCATGGGGCTTCAGTCCTGACTGTCTGGCATTTATATACATGCTGCTGACGTGAGGGCTCGACTCACGCTGGCAAGTGAAAAGGGAACTTCGATTCTCTTTTCTTTCCCCACCCCTGCCGCTGTTACCACCACCAGATTCCCGGGGGTACGTGAGTTTTTGGATTTTTAAAAAGTGTTTTTTGGTTTGGTTTTTCCGGGGACTGATAAGTGCTTTAAGCAATGTCTGTACCCCACCAAGACTCCCAGCTTAGTCATTTTCTCGTATTTTTCTGTTCACAGTATTTTTGTGTGTGTGTACTTGTTTTGGCAGCTCATTTTGGCTGTATTATATATCGAGTGATGAATTGATCCTCTTTTTTTTCCCTAAGGGATATGAGTTTTTTTTTCTTGTGTTATACTTCTGCTTGTGAATAGCTGGAGCAAACCTGGGGCTGACACAGGTAAGCTAGGGCTGCAAAGCAAGAAGAGAGCCAGGGCTGTTTGCTTGTTCTTGACAGGCCGACCGCCCTGCGTCTCCAAGCTTTCCAGTCCCAATCATTGCAAGGCTACAAATGCCACAGAACCTCCCCTCCTCTCCCCCGCCCCATTGCAGGGACTGAACCGTCCCTACATGCAACATGCAGTTTCTCCAGCCCCACCTATTGCCATGGCAAAGCAGGTACCTATGGGGCATGGGGGGGCATCAAATGGGATGCTTGTGTAATTGACCACCTAGCCATCTCTCCTCCCCCGCCCCTCCCGGAATCATTTCCTAGGACACCGGAGCTGCTTGCACAGGGTCCTGTTTCCCTGCTAACTCCAGAGAAGCATCCCAGGGCTTTGTGACAGTCTCTAATCCTCTTCCCTTCTTGTTAATCATATGTATAGTAGCTTTCAAACCATACAGTATTCATTGGGTTACTCCTATTATTATCAAGTAGCTGGAATTGTGAAGGTTGGAGTAGTTAGATCTTTAGCTTTTACTCCTTATTTTTTTGTATTACTATCCATGTGTATAAATTATTGATCATGTTGCTGGCTTTTATAAACTCTAAGCGAAGGAGGAGCTCTGCCTCTGCCTTTGCAAATGGTAATGAAGCACTGTTTTTAAATAAAAGAGAGAAACACCATTCTTGGGCCTGTGTGTATTGATCCTTACTCCTTGCTGCCTCCTCCTGAGGCTCAAAAGATACAACTTGGATTTGACTCCTTAGTATGGGAAGAAGGAAGGAAAACCAACACTTGTAGACGGAAGACCTTGTAGGTCATGGGGATCTGTGAGGTAAGCGAAGCTGAAACCTGGGACTATAGGCCTGTCTCTTGGTGGCATCTTGCAGCTGCTGAGCTTTCCAGAAGCTGTGTTCCGTGCTTCTGCTTCTGAAGTCTCCTTTGAACTTCACTTGCGCACCTCCTGTCCTCTCCCAGACTCATAGCTGCTCCCCTCACCCTTCCTCGGAAACGTCCTCACCAGGATCCCAGGGACTCCCTGGCCTGCTTGGCCTTCCTCATATGTTTGACATTTATTCTCCTTTGCAGCCTGCGTCACTGCTTCCCTAGGTCTCCTGCTGCCACTCTGTCTCCTTTACTTTTTCCTTAAATGTAGGAAATGTTCCACAAAGTTCCCTCCTTAACCCTTGTCTTTCTTCCCTTCCCTTGCTACAGTGATTTCTTTGCCAGAAATTCCCAGATCTTTGAAATTCTGTATTCTACTCATTCTCCGCCAGTGTCCAGCTTCCTTAACTTCACTCTTGAGCAGATCATCTTGCTTCCAGTTTCATGGAGACCTCGCTGAATGAATTTTTGCTACCAAATCCGTAACCTACTTGAATTCACTTACGATTGAAGAAGTGTTCTTTGTCACAGGCTTACTCTACACCTGTGCCCAGCATCTCATCCTTCCCACCTTCTCAAGTACTCCGCTTTGTTTTTCTTGCACAGTTAACCTTTTCGTCTCTGTCAGTCCTTTTAGCATTTAATCATGCTTAAGTGTTTTTACACATTTAAGAAAATAATTTTGCTAAATCCAAGGCCTCTCCTTCATGAGAAACTTCTGGAATAAGTGTGTGGTTACTGACTGCAATTACTTGCTGCTCAATCTACTGCCATCTAGTTTCCATCTCCAGCACTAGGATTACTTCTGATGGACACGTTAGTCAGCTTACTTGAGCTCCAGAATGTTGAGCACTGCCG